CCTATCAAGAATGGGCTCCGACCAGAAAGACTGTCCCACCGACCGCACAGTTTCCATGACTGCGAACGTCTTGAACAATCAAGGCGTTTCTGTGGCGCTCAACCTGTGTACCAATTTTCTGACGGTCCCCGGGAAGCTACTGAAAGCCCTCCTAGTGGCAAATCTGATTAAGGTGATTCTCATATCAGCGTTACGTGGTATAACGGTGGGTCGAAATTCCAATCTATCTCAAACACGGAGTATGTTAATTCCCATACCCCTTTTTCATCTCCACTATTTCTTCATGCAGACTGTGAAGCACCGGTCGCTTCCCCCTGCCAGATCCAGACGCCGATTCAGATCTCTACGGCCCTGACAAGGTGTCGGCGCATTAATGGCGCTTGGCTGTGCATAGACAGGCTCCGCGAGAGATGTCTCGCCCTAACCGGGCAAGCTCCCATCCCCCCACTCGCGACCTGCACGCTTGTCAACAGTTTGTTGAACAATTTCGTCGCGGGCTGTGAGGGGCTGGGTTACAGTCTCTACTCATGTATATAAAAAATTCGATTTTTTTCTGAAATGCTACTCTCTTTCCTTGAACGAGTATTTACGACACGCGTAATGCTAAAATCTCTCCACTATACCATTCCCATTCCTTTCATTCGATCAATCGAGAACGTCTGGATCTGTCAGTTCCTTTTAGACAGAGTGTCGTCCACTCTCCAGATTCAATCATGTCGTATCAATCCATTGATCTCGAGTTTGACGATCTTTATCAAGGGAGTGTCGTCATGACTCTCCCCTCATCTCGTTCATCCCGCGCCACGCGGTCGTTTTCACTGTGAGTGCTCTCTACGCGCTCAGCGATGCTCCTAATAACCGTGATCTCCGTATATTCCGGTATGTCTGAGTTTTCCGAGGATTTATCGTTCCTAATTTTCATCCAATTAGTTGAGTTTCGTTTGACAGCAATCGCATTCATCGTGGCCAGTGAATCCACCGATTCCATCTCCAATATCACCTCGACTCATTGATCGAGTTCTACGAATATTCCTCAGCTTTCTACAACTTCAAAATCCGCGGAATCTCAGACATTTGACTCATCGATTATTCCTTCAGTGCAATCCCGTTACCATAGCTATGCTCCGCTCCATCCATTACCAGACGCCCGAAGATCCGTCACTCGTGAGTCGGGTACCCGTCACTCCGCTGCGGATGTTCCAACATCAACACGCAGTCCGTTTCGAAGCACTTCATTGGCGCCCCTTATCCACTGTGACCGCATTCTCTTCACCTAGTTGGCGCCGGCAAAGCATCACTCGTTCCGCTACGAGTCCAGTTTACAAAACCGCCACACCAATGTTTGAATCCACTCGCTCCACCAGGGCGTATTATCATACTTCCTGTACAGCCCCAATCACCACAGCCGCTTTCTCCACGGTCGACTCATCGACGAGCTCCACGAATGATATCTCCGTTCTCACGGCTGGAATTCCTCTCTCAATCGCTACGACTCTGAACCCGTTCGATTCGACCAATTTATCGAGTGAGAATGTTTCCGAATCCGACTTTTCTCAAATTTCCACGAGAGCTGCCATCTCTCCAACTCGCGATCTGTCAAGGATCCCTCGACCAGACGTTTCGTCTAGCACGAAGGCTCCGAATTTCGTTGATCTCGATATCCGCCGATATCGCTGTCGCCGCTTCTCTCGATCTCGGGTTTGTGTTTCAAGGCCAAACCAACACTGTGTTTTCCTCGAAGTTCACGCTCGCGTTCCGACTCATCTCACGGCCAAGGAATCCGAATTGTCCGACATTTCAATTTCTGCTTCCGATGCAACCGACATCTCGAAGCTTCGTCGGAATCATTCGATTTTCACGCGACAATAAATTTCTCAGAATAATTTGAGTGCGTTTATTTTTGGGATATGAGTTTCAATTCATATGTACAAGAGAACATGCCATATCAGATCGGCTCCGTAGTATCGAAGTGCGGACCTTCTTGCCCCTCCGTGGGTGGCTCAGGCAAACTCGCATAGGAGCTTTCTCTCCTCTTCCTAATCCTTCTTATCAGTGAGATGATGCCGAATACGAGAAATGAGAATGACGACAGGATTGAGTATCCAATCATGAACTTGATCCAGCGATTCGAATTCGAGTCAGGTGTCGGACCCGGAGGAGCAGGCGTCGGGCCTGGTGGAGATGGTGTCGTTGGGTGGATGTATCTATCGAAATCGTTCCAAATCTGTTCGCCTCCGACGGGCGGCTTGTCGATCCGCAAGCATACCCTTTCGGGCGATGCTAGTCTGAGGCATCCTGCCTCCATCTCGATGCATTCACATGGGAACACATCCGGATTCGTTTCTGAGATGATGCAGGGCTTTTTCAGCTCCTGGCATTCCGCCTTGCAGTTCGAGTAGTCAAAGTACGCGTCTCCACTACTGATGAACATCAGTATCGTCACAAGAGTCCTCATGTTGAATCACTCCACTTGTCAATTTTCGTAATTTCTGGAATGTTGGTCTCTCTAAGGCTTTCGTGAGGATATCGGCGATATTCAGTTTGCTTGGGCAATAATGAATTGAAATTTCGCCTCGTTGTAATTTCTCTCGAATGAAATAGTGTCTCACCTCAATATGCTTTGACCGTTTGTGGAACTGAGGATTTTCAACCAATTTGATTGTTGCCTGATTATCATTGCCTGCGATGACTAGCCCAAGAAATGACTCCGCCTCCAAAGCGGATCATCGACCCTGATGTGCTACGGCGCGTCTGCTCGTCGCCCGCGAACTCTGCATCACTAAAGCACTCGAGTTCTCAAGATCCGCCAACTGAGTAACTCAGTCCAAATGACTTGGTACCTTTTAAATACCTGAGTACTCTTATGGCCGCATTCCACTTTGGTTTTGTAGGTTTGTCGAGGACCCTCGACAGAAATCCTACCGCATCTGCGATGTCGTACCTGGTTGCTATTGTCAGATGAAGCAACGCTCCGATAATCTCTCGGTAAGGTAGACTCAGATCAATTTCGTCATCATGAGCCGATTTCGAATTATTATCGATGGGAGTAGCAATTTCTTCGCTGTTCTTCACTTGGAATTGTTCCAAAAGTTCAGAAATATAATTCGATTGGTGAATTTTGATTTCAGAACGATCGTCAGAGATCTCGACGTGCATTCCCAGGAGATGGATTAGTGGCTTTGACGTGATTTCCAATTGTCTGCCCAACTTCTCCAGAAATTCCTGCACGGTCGCCAGATCTCGGCCCATGGTTAGGCCATCGTTCACGTACAGAGCCACGATCAGTCTCGTTCCTCCCTCCGTATAGTAGACACAGGGATCTGCCTTGCTTTGAGTCATCCCCATGCCCAGGAGTCGCTTCGTGATCTCCTGATTCCGGGCTCTGGAGGCTTGCTTCAATCCATATACCGCTTTCAACAGCCTACAAACTCTTCCCGAGTTGTCAGAGAATCCTTCAGGCTGAGCCGTATAGACTTCCTCATTAAGCTCCGAATTCAAGAATGCCGTTTTGACGTCGAACTGATATAGTGTTAGAGATTCCCTACTGGCCGCAATAGCCAGTAGGGTTTTGATCGTATCAAAACGTGCAACCGGCGAGAAGATTTCACCGAAATCACGACCGGGACGTGGATCGTAGCCCTTCACGACCAATCTCGCGCGAAATCTCTCTACGTTACCATGTGCATCTTTCTTAACCTTAAATATCCATCGGTTACCTACCGCTCGCTTCCCTCTCGGCAAGTCCACAAGCTCCCATACCTTATGGTGCTTCATTGAAGCTATTTCTTCAGCCATCGCATTCAACCACTGCTGGCAGTGCACTGACTTATATACTCCATGTAACGAGGGAAATGCGATCGTCGAAGTTGGCCAACCCGTATGGAACTTCGCCGCCGACTTGCCGTGAGCCTAAGGACCCATCACGTCACGATTAGGACAGCCAAACAGAAGCGGATGAAGTTCGGCATTTTGTCCGTGAATACTCCGGTTTATCGTGCACTCGTCGCGCACTGCTGAGTAGCAGAGGCGGCGGGACTTTCTCTCTACTGCACGACGGCGCAAGTTCAAACCTTGAACTCGGCCAATTTTTCTTGACCTTTGAAAGCTCTCGTTCTCTCCTCATTCCTTCCCTTCCGGCCCGGCATTTCGCCTTGATTCGATTGCAACGGAGAATACGGGGGAAAGTTCAATGTAAATGTTTGTTCAAAAAGAAATGTGTGAAGCAAAGAGCCAGGCTGCAGTAGGAGCACGACATAAGACAGGCTTGCGCACAGGCGCTGTAGCTACACTTTCGAGCTCCAGGTTTGAAACATGCTTGGATTGGTGTTTCGAACACTTCCCGCCTGGCCTCGATGTATCTTATTTTCCTCCATGAGTAGAGGAGGAATTGTCTGAAGGCAGGGTTACAGAATTGATTCCAGGTTATTTCCAGGACAAGAAGTATGTTCTCGCAACGGTGGATTACGAAATCCGCCTCGCAAGCCATGACGTGCTCATGGATGCGGCGGATGAAGCCTTTGAGTATACGAAAAAATAGACATCCAACGGTTGGACGAGGGACGTCGCCCCCGGTGGAATGTTTTCTATGATAACTTGCTTCCCATCCGGTACGAGAGATTGGATTGTTTCATGATCCTTAAAGCTCGTCCAGGAGTCCAGAATGAGAAGGAGTCTGTCGGGCATCTCCGTCGTGAAGACGCACTCCTGGAGCCACTCTCGTAAAAGTTGTTTTGTCATAATGTGAGAGCGATGGCACTTAACGGTCAAAGAACTCGTGTTGTGGAAACTTTTCGGAAAGCGGCCGTTGGGCTCCGAGCAGCGGCGTAGCTAGGCACTTCGGCGCCCGGGGCGCTCGTCGAAAATGGCGCCCCCTAGGCCACCGAGAGACCAAACGCGAAAACTACAGGATTTTGAAGGGAAAGCATCCTCTTACCTCACAATCAGATTCAAGGATTTATTGCACAAAACATTCGAATCGTCAATTAAGTTAAAAAGATTCCTTAGAATCGCACTCGACGCGCCTTCAGAGTCGCGAACTCCTTGATCGCTCCCTCCATGTCAATCCTGCTTGCGATCTCATTTTCTATGGAGAGAATCGCGAGGTTGGACAGCCGCGCTTGACTCATAGTGGACCGCATGTAGCTCTTGATGAGCTTCAACTTCGAGAAACTTCTCTCGCAACTGGCCGAACTGATTGCGACTGTCAGAAATATCCGCAAACAAATTACGATGTTCGGCACACAGATATCGAGGTTGAATTCTCGGATGAACTGTAGGAGCTCCAGGGGCCCTTCGTTCATGATACGGGTCCTTTCTTGCTCTGAGCAGACTTTCACGAACTGTTGCAGCCTTTTCTGCTCCTCCAGGAATTCTGCTCTGTCGATGTCAGGGGGGGCGTGGTCGAGATCGCTCTCAGAATTCTCCTCCAGGAGCTGCGCGGGTTTCAAGAAGCCGAACTTTTCGTCCAAGTCTCGCAGCTGTTCGAATCTCGTCGTCATCTCCTGAAGGATCCTATCAGAAGAAGCGTACATTTCACGTTTGAGTTCCTGCTCGAAAGTCAGATTGGCATCCTCGGATGTGTCGTCGAATTGTTTCCTGCGTTTCCTGATGCGACGAGACGGAATCTCAATTCCGAGATCATCGCAAAGACTTTTTGCGTAATCAAAACCATTGGAAATAATGTCGTCTCGTTCGCAACTGAGCCACTCCTTCAATGCACCAATTTTCAGAGCGCTCTTATGGATATCAAGGCCCCTCGTTTGCAAGTACCGCTGAGCATCATTTATTTCACGAAGTATATCGGACCAGAAACTCAAATAGCACAAGAAGGAGAACGACTCCAAAGCTCGCAGGAGAAGCCCGGCATCCGATCGCGTTGCCGTGTTCTCGTCGATCCCTGTTAGTCGTTCTAGAACATTTAGGATTTCCGAAAAGTATTTCTTTGTCACGAGGACTGCTTCGTACCGGGAGCTCCAACGAGTTTCGATCGTCCGTTTCACCCCGCAATTCGTAACGGCGATAAGCTTGCTCCATCGACCCGTGGACGAGGAGAAAAACGTGAAAATACGCTCCAGAGTGCCAAAAAAGGTAACAGAGCCTACAGCTTCGGCGGCGGCATGAACACCAACGAGATTCAATGAATGATTGGAGCATGCTACGAATTGGGCGAAGGGATTTACCACTCTGATTCGCGCTTGAACGCCTAAATGTTTACCGGCCATGACGGAAGCGTTATCATACGCCTGACCCCGACAGTTCTGGATGTCGAGTCCGGCCGTCGCGATTGCTCCCAAGATCAGGCTCGTCAACTCCTCCGCTGTTTTGCCCTCGGCTTCAATGAAATCGATGAACGATTCTAATACTTCAACTTTCTTTCCATCCATTTTTACATACCGCAACATATGACTCATCTGATCCTTATGTGATAGGTCAGGCGTGCTGTCAAAAATGATGCAGAAATACTTGGCCTCCTTAACTTGCTCAATGATTTCTCTCCTAACCTGATTCCCTAACAGACCGATTATCTCGTTCTGAATCGTTGGCGACATGTAAGATTTCTCGTTCTTACTTCCCAATCGCAGTTTCGTGTAATGCTCTCTGAGAGCTGGGTCATATTTCGACAAGAGTTGAACCAATTCTAGAAAGTTTCCCTTATTCGTCAACGACTGATCATCGAGGCTCTCTCGATGACCCCGCAAGGCCAAATTCTGCTTTGCAATGAACCGGATGATATCTAGAAAGCGCTCGAGGAGAGTCTTCCATTTGCTCTCCGCCGATCGAATCGCCTCTTGAGTTGCTTCATCTATGGTACCCCGGTGTTCAATGGACATTTCCAGAGCCTTCCATTGCGTAAAGCAAGAAATGTGTGCCTGGCTGCTCTCGTGATGATCAAGTCGTGGGTTGAGTTTCCACCATTTAGTAAAGCCATCCGTGGAAGCGAATGCTGATCCCACGGAGGCGTTTCTTCTGAAAAGTTTGCAGCAGAAACAGAAGAGCGCACCCTTCGACGGTGAATACATCATCCACGATCTCAGAATCTTCTCGCCGTTCGTCAACCTCCGGTAGAACCAATCTCGAGTCAAATTTCTGACACTACCTCTGGCCGATACACCTGATCGAGCTGTCCCAGCAAAATCGCTTTCGATGTGTCGCACCACTTCGGGACCGAGGCTCATTATGGACATTCGCATGGGGTCAGAGATCTCATAAGGCCAGTTTCCTATGTCTGAGATGCTCGTTCCGGCTTCATTTCTAACTCCATTTTCCTCTGGCTGGTCCGATATAAGAGCGTCAAGAGATTCGTTGATGACTTCTCCGGGGTTCGAGTCCAAGAACTCCGATGCCGTGAGCTCGGTGGGCACGGGATCTCCTTCCTCGACTCGCGATCGCGGATCATTTGCTCCGTCATATGTCGCGCTCTCAAACTCTGACTCCCGATTCCCGGGAGCTTCGGGATCAGAGTTCGCTTCAGACTGCGCATCTGGTCCTCCAACAACGTCCGACTCATCGGGACTAGCGCCATTCGACTCACCCTCGGTTTTCGCGGTCTCTGAGTTCTTCAGATACTTCAACATGGAACCTCTGACTCTTTCTCTCTCATCTTCTGCTAGTTTCTTCTTTTTGCGATACGATGCGCCGCTGGGCT